CTTGGGGTCCATTTTATTTTGGTATACCTTTTCTAGGTACGTTAGCCTGTGACCACGGAAATTGGCCGAGTCAAGTGATGGATTAGTACGGAGAGATTGAGACAGAAGGAGGTACTGGATAGAGAGACCGGGATGGTTTTTAATGTGAAGACAACAACAACAACAACAACAACAACATACGGTTTAATGCGAAGACAACAACAACAACAACTGTTTAGGTTTGTCAAACGAATGTTCTCAAGGTTGAGGCCCGGTTTCGAAAAAAAAAAGTCAATATCCGTTGTTCATTGTTTTTCTTCGGGACTGATGCTGCTGTTGAACTCACCACCACATTACCTGCTAACGGCACAAATAAGAACGAGCTACGGCTCACCACATTACCTGCCGTTGTGTACGTCCTCTATGGTCTACATAATAAGCCCATTTTATACCAACCCATCCATGAATATCATGACTCAGAACAAAACGGGGGGAGTAAATATGTTCTCGCGTGACCCCCTACACATTGAAACAACGACACATTGCTACGTGCGCAAAAACCTGACGAGTCCGGCTTTGTCAAATGCACACCGTGCCCATATTCACACACCAGATGAACCAACTACCCAACCTGTTCCCTCCACACCTTTTTAGCGTAACACAAAGATAGATACACGAGACGGCTACAAAACTGTCTTGTAAACCGTTTACCTAGGGGGGAGACATCACTACGGTGTGCTGCTTGGGAAATCGTGGAAAAACAGAACATTCCAACCACACCTTTGTACCGCCTAAATTGGAAAAAGAAGCCCCTCTTCGTGCCATTATTGTACTAACAGGTATTCGAAAAACATCTGTGGGAACGTTGGACCACGCGTATCGTGAAGAACCCTCACACGCTACACGCGGACAACAGTCCAACTCACCAAGGTGTACAAAGAGTCAACGGTTAAATGCTAGCAGAAATGGTTGGCCAATGAAAACGTTTGCTTTCAATATAATTCAACATATCCCACAACCTTGCTGACTCGATCCTTCCAACACACCAAACGAATTTACAAGAAGCACCGGCTTTTTGTTTTGATTTCGTCAGTATGACCCAACGAGTCCATCTCTATCGAAGAAAATAGTCAAAGACACTGTATATTGGAAATTAATCCATAGCGTCAGCGAAATGACCGTTTTTCCACGATTTCCCAAGCAGCACACCGTAGTGACCGTACCTAGAAAAGTTATACCAAAATAAACTGAACCCCAAGGGTTAGCAGAGCGATAAAGTACAAGAGAACAAAAGAATCAGAAACAAATAAATAAGTAAATAGTGGAACGTGCGCACCACCAGCCTGGGGGGTAGCCTTCCGGAAGGACCCCAAGGGTCAACAGTACGTGCCAGCAAAAAAACAAAACAAAAACGAAATAAACCAAAGACAGACGATGACACAAACAAACTCGCACAGAGACAGGGATATCCGAAGAGACAGTCTGAACGCGACAGCAAACGGGGGAGAGGGCAACAGAAAAACTAGTCGCTGAAATTCAACCGCAACATGTCACGTCACGCGGTCGGTCTCTTTTCGCTTGCTTTCTTCCCGCGCCCTTTCCTCCCGCCCCCCTCCCGCCCCGTTGATTGGTGCCGTATCTAGACTTTTTTTGGGCCCGCTGTCTCCTCGTTTGATGGCTCGTTGTCGGCTGGCCTTCTCCTCGCCCTTGTGCCAAGAGGCCATAAAACTCTCAGCTCCCTGTAGCACGCACGAGTATTCTCGCAATACTTTCTCGAGGGCGAAACTCGAGTTGGAGTATTTACTAAGATATAGTAGCTGTCGCTAAAACGAGCGACAGCTGATAGATGTAACTGTCGTCAGACGTGTGCGTCCGCGGGAGGTGGAAGAGACCCTTTCTTCTTCTTTTTCTCTTTGCAATTCACGTCATTGGTTACCCGCGACGGCGCTGAAGACGCCCATGTCCGTGTACTTGACCCTCGTACTCTGTGCTAACTCCCCAAGTCTAACCTCTTCCTGCAGCCTAGCCTTCATCGTCGGCGAATTTCCAAGGTTACCAATCCTGTCGAAACTCATGGGCTCTACCATGAGGTCCACAAGTCTCTTCGCCCTACTGAGACAGACGAAAGTAAGCCCCGTGCAGGCCTCCTTGGGCCCCAAGTCAATGACGGCCTTGGCTAAAGTCTGCCCCTGGGACTTGTGCATCGTAATTGCCCAGCAGAGCCTAAGGGGCAGCTGCGTCCTGACCTGCGTCCCCCCGTCCTGCCAGGTGGTGTCGACGGGAGAAATAGGGACACAACGTCTATACCTCTCCTGAGACGACCATTCCCCCCCCGAGTACCCTTCAAACTTGACGACAACGTAAAGGGGGAG